TTTTGACAACATTCTGCGCCACAAAGCATTACAAGTCTCACCACCACCTTAGTATAATATCAATGGTGGGTGGTAGTTAAATTATGCCTCAATAAAGAAAATTGTAAGCCTCGGCCAAACCACCGAGGCTTAAACCTCAAGGTGTCCAAGCTACGCCTCGAATCTACACGCCGCAAGCGTCTTTTTAAACCATGGTGAAAACGAGTCCAGTCGGGCAGTCAAGCTAGACTCGCCTAAGATACAATCGACTTGAACACGAGCTCGAGCTCGAGTTCAACTTAAGCTCAGAGCTCAAACTCAAAATTGGCTCGCATATGTTACAATCGATTCAAATTTGGCTCATTAGCTCGAAGTCGAATGAGTTGTTCAAACTCAACTCATTTTTAGGCTCATTTTGAAGAAAGTTATATGCAAAGTCAAAGGAAATTTTTTCTTGAAAAAATCATACAAGCGAAAGTATCAACGTTAGCCATAATTTGAGAGGTTGATGCAACCAAAATTTAGGGGAAACTAAGATTGCATATAAAATTGCCGTCTTCCTTTCAAAACAACTTTAACAAACAAAAACTTATACGACAAACACAATCTTAGAACATAAAAATTAAAAGGAACAACAACACAATTTAAGCACGACACAACAACAACCTTCAAATACGACTAAATATTTTAAAAGTTTGAGAAGAAAGATACAAATGGGGTGGAAACTTGCGGAGAGAAGAAATAGATAAGAAGCCCGAGACGAAGTCAAATAGAGGAGAAGAAGAAGTGGATAAAGCTCGCAAGCTATCCAAGAAGAAAAAAACCCTCAGGTTTTAGTTCCAAAAATCCTCACATAATCTTCCTAAAACAGTCACAAAACAACCCCTATTTATAGGTGAAGAGAGGGAGCTAAACAACCCAAACAGCCGCCCATACCATCCAATCAGCAAAGGGGAGGCAGAAAGCCAACAGGAAGCCGAATGGAGCAGCACACAGAAGGCCAGTGGGACACAGCCAACGAACAGCCAACGCCAGGGGGAAGAAACCGGGCAGACAGAGGAAACGAAGGGCCAAAACAAGGGGGGATGAACTCGGCTAGCAGCCATAATGAGCTGAAAAAGGCAACAAAACTCAGCAGCTAACATAACTAGGCAGCAAATCAAACCCTCTCTCTCTCTCTCTCTCTCTCTCTCTCTCTTTGCCTACATCAGAGGTACAGCTAAGTGAAAAAAAAAAAAAGACCATTCAGGATGCAATTTGGTACAAAATTTAAGCAACTAGATTACTGGATGGCACCATCAACCAATTATTTTAAAAAAGCAAAAGACCAATAAGGCTCAAAACAGGATTAAAGCAAGAAAAATAAACGATCTATAGATTTTAAACTAGCAAAAGAAAAATTAACCAAGTTTATTTAAGGATTTGGCTCAACAAGTATAAGATTTAATGATAAACCCACACCGAAAAACAACCACCAAACATATAGAAAGGGGAAATAATGGCATAGAAATATCTAAACAAGAAAGCTATCAAACATCTCTAAAATATATAGAAAGGGGCAACCACTCGGAAAATTCTAGCCATAAAGAATACTAACCTACTATATGCATTGATTGTTACTTCAGAGCTTATAGTGAAAAACCAAGAAAATGGTATAAATTCATTACGTTTTACTAGATGTTTTCCACTTGGTTGTCAAAATACCGGCTCATGTTTCCCGTCAACGACGCCTTCGCAGATCCTGGTGGTTTCCACTAAGGAAACCTTCCCTCTAGCCATCGCAGCCATTGTAATACGGGCATCCGATGGTGGACGTTAATCAAAGAAAGAGACGAAGATCGATGGCCGAGATCCCTACATTTTATCTTAGTTTATTATTGTATTTTTTATTTAATTATGCATTTTTCATTTTTACCCTTACTTAAGGATCTTGTCTTATGTAAGCCCAAGGGGCAAAATTGTCTTTTAGTTTCTTTTAAGGTCTATATATAGAAGCTCATGCTCTTGTATTAGACGATGATGGATTATTATATAAAAAAAAAATTATGCACTCTCTTTGGGGAGAACTTTGGTGAGATCCCTATGGATGGGAATCGTAGTATCCACCGGTCGCAAGATGTGTCTGGGCTCGCGGTTGAAGTCCCTTGGTGAAGGGCAGCATATCACCCGTCAGCCACAGGAGATGTCCAGGCTCACGATTTTATCTTTCTTTCCCTACACACTTCTTTTCTCCTTCTACCTTGACCGCTGGTCATACCCCCTCCATAGCCGCAGGCCAAGCTTCTTGATGTGGACATCGATCAGAGGTTCAAGCATGTGTATCGCCGGAGACAGCGCAGATCGACGGCCACGATTCAGAGTTTATATTTCTAGATATTTATGCATTTTCTTCTTTTATTTATTGGAGTTTCCTATTGTACCCTTAGTATGAGCTGAGTCATGATTGTAGCCCTGAGGGCAATTTAGTCTTTGTGTTTTTCTTTTTATGTTGGGGCCTATATATATAGGTCATTCTAGTTGTAATGGAACTAATGAAGATTTGAATGAAATTTATGTTTTATTTCTACTTCTTCTTGCATGAGAGCTTGAGAAGGGAGAGAGCTCAAGGTGAGCAAATCGCAAGGCCCACCAGTCGTTGGAAGAGTCCGCGGCTCGTGGTTAAATTACCCCATCTTCTCGTTCGTGCTTCCTCCAACCACTTCCCCCTCCACCACAAGAATATTCATCCAAATTCTTGTTGCCGCCTCCTCCTTGGAAGCCCGCCGCCCACCACCTCACGGCACCAGCCGCCCCCCCTTGCCGGCAACTTCCTTTCCCACTCACCACACAACCATCTATCCGAAATTTTCAAATTTGAAATTTGAATTTCAAATTTCAAATTCTTTCCTAATTCGGAATTCCAAATTTGGAAAGTTTTCATGACAAATTCCAATTTCAATTTAATTTAAATTGGACTTTTTAATTATTGTGCCACGTCATCAATCCAAATTGGAAGCCACATCCCACTAATTCCCCTCTCCCCCTCTCACCTTGCCGCCGGCCCCATGAGGGTTTTCTCCCCCAACCGATTGCTCCATTAATGCCCCAATTAATTCATTAATGTCTCCTTAATTTGAAATCAATTTTCAAATTAATCTCCCTCTCTTTCACTTAAAATCCTGAAATTAATTTCAGGTTTTGAATTAGAAACCCCCTCCCTCCTCTAATGAGCCGCCGGCCCCCCTCTTCATGGATCCCATTAAATGCCCATTAATCCCCCTTAATTCTCATTGAGATTTGAAATTATTTTCAAATCGCTTCCCTCCAAATTAACTAAAAATCTGATATTAGCTTCAGATTTTAGTAACTCTCTTCCTTCCCTCATCTAATCTAGAATCCCTCTCCCAACTCACCCGCCCCCTCTCTCCCCACCTTGGTCGACCACTCCCCTTTCCCTACCTTGGTGAATTTCGGAGGCTCACAACACTTGAAGCAAGAGAAGAAGAAGACGACGCCCATCACCCTCACTTCGATGTTGAATGGCGGATCCCGAACTTGAGTGGGGTCTTGTATTCAACGCCGACGGAAGTATCAACATCCTAAGATCTCCGTGCTTTGACAAGGGATTTGAAGACGAGACCACCGTTGAAGAATATTTGGAGAGAGTCGTCCCGATTCTTGCGAGCATCGTCGACCGACGATTTTTAAACTACAATTGGAGCATCGACAGTCGAGATTTTCCCCCACCCAACCCGCCGGCTACACCCTCCTCAAAACCCCCACCGCTGGCCCACTCTCCAAGTTCCCTTGATTCCAATTTCATTTCATCATCATTACTTTCCTAAATTAGCTCCTATCTTATTTGGAAAGTTTCCGAATTCAAATTCAAATGAATTTGAATTTTAAATTCTTTCCTAAATAACCTACATCTATTTTAGGAAATCCTTCAATCATATTAAATCTGAAATTAGTTCAGATTTAACACTCTAATCTCCCATTAATGCATATGTGGACACCTTTTCTTTTTCCTCCTCATTAGGCTGGCCCCTTTCTCTCCCCTATTTTAATTATTTCCTTCATTGTTAAGGAATTCAATTAGGGAAATAATTAACCACCTATTTATCCTTCACTCCATCGAATTTGAATTTCAAAAACTTTCCAAAATTAAAACAACCCTATTTTAGAAACTCACCCAATCTCAATCCCCTTGCCTCCAAAATTCAAACATCCCATCATTACTTTCCTTTCTACACAACTTCTTTTGGAAAGCTTTGATTTTAATTATTCAATCAATTTTGAATTTTGAAATACCTCCTAAAATAGACAACCTATTTTAGAAAAGTCCTTAAATCAAGTCCAAATCAATTTCAATTTGGATTTTATTTAAATCCTTTTCCTTAATTAAAGGTCCTTGATTAGGCAAGCTTTAAACTCACCCCCCCCCAACCCTATGCCACCTCACCAAGCCGCCGGCCCCCTCCTCCCATCTCTCTCTCTCTCTCTCTCTCTCTCTCTCTCTCTCTCTCTCTCTCTCCCCCCTCTCCTCTTTGTTCTCTCCTAGATTGGTTTCCCTCCAAATTTAATGCTTTCAATCAAAAAAGGAGAAGGCAGACGCATATTCGAAAAAAAGGAGTGGATTGGATGGTTTAGAAATGTGGAACTGCTTAATGTATTCATCTAGTTCGGTTGTATGAGAGTCAATTTGGTTCTTACATGAAATAATGAATCTATTCTAGCCAAGCTTGATAAGTACTCAAGCCGATAGCTCGAGCTCAATTAACAAACGATCTTTGGTGTGGACTCAAACTCAAGCTCATGGCTAGACGAGTTTGACTAGTAAACTCGTTAGCGAGTCGAGTTCAAGCCAGCTATCAGGCCGGCTTGGCTCAATTACAACCCTAATACTGATGCATCAAATGTGTTCAACAAAATTGCATCAAATCACTACAAAAGAATTAAATATGATAAAGTTAACAAAGTTAGTTGATAACCACTATTTTTATATGATACTATTACCTAGCACAAAAATATTAATTTGGTACCTTCTTTGATGCTTCGGCAAGAACAACATGAAATTCTTGGAAGCATTTCATCCCTAGAGCTCCATATAGAATTGTAATTTTGTTGCTGATACGTGAACCCAAATATATGTGATCAAAGTCAAAAAGTTCCGGCTGCTCCAGAGTGTCTGCATCACTGATTATACGATGTTGTTGTTTTCATGAGCAAAAACAGTCTAATTAAACAAATTATCTTCAAAGAAGACATGATGAAAAAATCAATAAAACCTAAAAATATGCATATTACTTACAGATCAGTTGATGTATCAAGCCATGAAAGAAGCTCGGGAACATTAAATAATAGCACGCTACCAGTATCCACCCAGCAGCAACTCTCTCCAGATTTCAGCGGGTTTGTTGTGTAAGAGTGATCTACCTTTAGATCATCTGAAGGAGACCCTGCTGTTATAGAGTTAACTTCATCATCAACAGGAAAAGAAGATAATGAATCCTCTGCGAGTTGCCTGTATAGAGCCAGCCTTGGAGATGCTGACCGAAGAGTCAGAGAAAATTCAAAAATTGACCCCAAGTGATCACTTAAAAGTGAATGTCCATCATTCATGATAATCTCTAAACAACATCGAGCTGTTGAACAGTTTGAAGCTCTGTCTGGTTGCAGCCACAGTTCAGAGAACTCCCAGAACAGATCTTTCCATTCTTTAGAAAGCAACTCTCTGTACGAAGATGGCACTATGTTCAGATTTCGAAAATATGCTTTGTTGAAACGCATCAAAAATTCTGATAAAGCACATCCTCTTCAGGTGAAAAAACTAAGCTTCGAGGATAATTATTTAGGTAGACAGATAAATTTTAAAAAGAGGGCAAAAGCTTGCTCAAAAGGTTAGTGGAAAACATGGCAGCAAATATTTGTCATGGATATTTCTACAATGGCCCAACTGGAGCTTTAATAAATCGACTGGGACTTCAAAAGCAGTCACTGATTTGATTAATGGAAAGCTGTTTTTTTCCTCAAAACTCGTTTCCAATCTAAATCGCCAAATTAACAGCCATACAAGGGTCCCAAGGGGGGCAAGTACCACAGAAATAGCATAGTCAAAGCTGCCAATTTGACACTCCATAGGGTAGCACATAATCCATATCCTAAGAAATACATGAAGGCGCCAGACTAATTCTTGTGAACTGGGTTAAGCACTCCTACTATGGCGGAACAGAAACCACAGGAATAACAGTGTGTAACAGCAGGAAACTCCCACAGGTGAAAAAGATAAGCAGCATAAATTTAGCATAGGAATTAGCAACTAGCTTGGTTGAATCCCCCAATAAAGAACCATGAGTTCAAAGTTTCCAAGAGTAACTTCAGCAAACTCATCAAAGTAGAGTCCTAACAAATGGCATACATAGACTTTTCAATAGAATTGGTACAAATTTTGTGATAAATATAACATCAGCGCCTAAAAATTTGCATCCTTCTGAAAATAAGTAGTAGCCCTTGAAATATTATTTTTATGGAAAATAAAATCTTATAATACTAACCTCTAATTAATATGCCACGAATGGAAATGAGTGTAATACCTAAATTTTGAAGAGAAAATTTTTCTCCTAAAAAATTATACCCTATTTTTTACACATCCCAAAAATTATCAAAACTATTTTTATAAAATTTATATTTCATTTTAATCATGTAATATATAGAAGTGCATATAAATAAATAAGTATATTAGTATTTTATAATTAATATCTTAATTAAACAAATTTGCCTATAGTAATTAATTTTACTGTTCACCTGCATGATATACTGTAGCAAATCAGCAATTAGCCCAAAGTAGTGACCTGCAAATGTCGGTTAAACTAGGGACAGCTGTAAGGGAGAATTACTTAGGTGTAATACTTAAAATATATATAAAATTAGCTAATAACAAACCATCCATACTTATCTTTTCCATCCCAATTCCATAACAGCAGATGGAAGCTCGGGAAATGATATAAGAGGGAGGCTCGGTAGGAAAAACAGAGAGATTGTTGTATAACATACTATTTTAATACTATCCACATAAAATGCCCTTTAATATGATTAAAACAATTCTGGAATTCAAATTAAATTAAAAATTAGTAACAATTATTTTTGCCCTATAGTACACATCATTTAATCAAGAAGTCTAACCAAAAAAATAAATGCTCTTGGCGTGTAAATCATATATATAAACAATCATATTTCCTTTGTCAAAAGCCAAAGCCAAAATGTTTCTATTTTCATGTAATATAAACCAATATATGTTTCTTTTTTTTCTTTTTTTTTTCTTTTTTTAAGAATACTTAACAAATGAAAAAACTGGAAGAAAAAAACAGTTAAAAAACAAAGCAACAAGATTATCCAGCAATTTCCCTAGCTTTGTTTGACTTGTATTTTCAGTTTCACTAGAAAGATAACTTATTTGGTTTCCTTTTACAATTACTAAAACTATTGGTTGTTAGATGATATCATCTATCCAAAATGTTTATAATATAAATAAGTAAAATTTCTTGAATTGTAATCCCATAACATAAATGATGTGTTCTATATCAAATATGTTTCTTTTTAAAAGGACAGAAACAACAACAAAAAATATGGCCATCTAAGGCGGCTTAGCGTTGGAAATGTGCTATGAAAAGTTTAAAGAACACACCATACATATGTTTTCAAAATAGCAATAAGGCTGTTTCTTGAAAATAATAATAAATGGCTGGCTGAACCAAACAAGAAGCATAAACACTTAACAGACATGTTTGTTATCATCTTTAGTTTTTTTTTTTTTTTTTTAATAGATAGCTCAAAATTTTTTAAATAGATAGCTCAAAACAAATATAACAGTATCCAAACAAGGATTTGATCTGATCCTTTCTTGTTCAAAGACACAATTTCAGACTTGCTTATCATTTTTCAAAACAAGAAAGCATCTTTCAGTTTTTTGTCACTATTATTTCCTTCAAGCGAGGCTATATTTTCGTTTGCTTCATATTGCAAGACAATCCACTAAGTACCAACTTCTCAAGAATAGCATTACTACTGAGAAATATTGATAAATATGGAAAAATATTGCTTCGCGCGTAAAGCTCTATAGTCAAACGTCTAAAAAGCATTTGACATTCAAAAAAAAAAAATAATGACAGTTAAGAGCAATGCTCCATAAATAGGTTGGTTGAAGAGCCTCATCAGGTTTCTACAGGTTATGACCATATTTACATTTGTCTAGCTTTGCAAATTTCAACTGAAGTAACAAGGTAAAACAATTCACCAAACTCAAAAAACACGCACAATTTAACCTAAGAAACTCACCCGGCTTCCAACAACAAGGAAGTTCCGGGCCACTTAGCCCGCAGAGAGACCTGCACGTTCTTAGGACGGCGGCCTTCCATAGAATACGAAGGACCTCCAAATGCTAGAAAGAGCAAGGAGATCAGGCATAGCGCGGAAACCCTAGATCGGCAACAAATATCCATACTCGAAAAACGTCTCGTGCCTACAACAATAACAGAGTTTCTCACGGGATCATTGGCTAATGGCTATCATGGAGATCAAAGATTTTCCGATCCGCCCCCTTTCCCCGATTAGACTGAGAAAGGCAGAGAGTAAGTTCGCCGCTAGAAGAGCCGAGGAGTGGACTCTGCCGAGACCAGGTGACCGCCTCAAAGTTCGTCAAAAATTTGTGTTTTTAATTTAAATATTACTGAGTCGCACTTTGAGAATGGCGCATTGGATGTTCAATATATATATAGAACTCGATGAACTAGGCCAATATGAATTTCATATTTTATTCCTATCTTATCAGTCCGACTGACCCGAGCTAGAGGTCTAGTCCATATGTGAAAATTTTGAATTCACAAGAGATCAAAAGTTTTAGAGCGGATTCACTTTGCAATATCACATTCACTTTTGATCTTCGACATCCATTGTTCACTTTCATCTTCAGCATTCCAACTGGTTCATTGTTCAACTATATTGAGACACTAAGTTCATCATCCACCAACAAAATTAATTTGGTATTTTGTTCGGTTTATCTTGAGAGAGGTACATTTTTGGCTTATCTCTCAAAATGGGGTTTAACGTTTAGAGTTTTTAGGGTTTAGGGTATTTGCTTGTCTTTTCATTAGTTAGCATGTTACTTTCCAAAAATGAGAAATTATTATTGTGTATCTTTTTTTTTTTTAATTGTGTATTTACTTTGTATTCAATAGTATCAAGAGTCTTCCATTTCCAAACTTATGTTACACAGTTTTCAAATTTTTTTATGAGTTGATTTTGTTCATTTTGTGTATTTTTTTTTACTGTGTATTAATTGCGTATCAACTACGTATTAATTGTGTATTCACTAGTATCAGCTATCTTCCATTTTCAAATTTATGTTGCACAGTTTTCAAATTTATATGAGTTATTTTTGTTCACTTTATGTATCTTTTTTTAACTGCATATTAATTGCATATTTTATTATGTATTTACTGTGTCTTCACTATGTATTTTCCTCTGATGTCTACATATGTATGTTTGACCTAAAACTTATCACTGTTATGCATCAAGTTTTAGAACTAGCGACTCTTTTATCGTGACAATAAACAAAGATGTCGAAGACACTTTGAAGAGATTAAATATCTAGCAATTTCTGAAGTTCCCAACGTTCCAACAGAATGCTTCACTGATATTCGAGCTGCTCAAATTCTGAGATATTCCTCAACAATATTTTATCATCAAGAGCCATGATATAAAGTTCACCTCATATGAAGTTGTTGTGATGCCCCAAAATTTAATTTGAAAGAATTATTATTTTAATATGTTTTGATGTTTATTACTGATAGAAGATATTATATATGGGCAATCTAATTTGAAAGAATTATTTATTTATCTTTTAAATTAGATTATGAGGCATCACAGTTGCTCTGCTTACAAGATTGTCAAACAAAGGTGTTGAGATCTACAGGCATAAGGAGCCCCTTACAAGATATAGATCAATAGATATTAAGAATGAAATGAAAGAAATCAATAGATCAATTGGCATTTTCATTATGCTAAAGATATTTATCATAATTTTGTTGTCGATTTTATTTTTGTCCTTTAATAACTATAAAATCCCAAGTTAGCTTCTTACTATTACAAATAATATATATGAGTTATCATCTATTAAATAGGCTGGTCCGACCATAAGAGATTTCTTAGTTAATGAGTTTAGTACAATTGTCAAGAACTTTGCTATGCATAGTCACTTGGTTATATAAATAGTTTGGTACCTCTTTTAACTTGAATGTTAAGACCATCTAAGTATTATTCTAATTATTAATTCATTTTGCCAATTTATTAGTTAATATTATATTTGATCTTATACATTTTTTAATTCTTGGAGCACTTTTCAATAAATGCCACTAAGTAACCTAACTTAAGACTCTGTTTCCTTTGATGGGGCAATATAGAAATATTTTATAATTCCCAAAAGGCCTCTAATTTATTCCGTACACTAAAGAAAAGGCAGGTGTGCATGCATATTTATCCTATAGCACATTTCAATTAAAGCCCATATGATTGGAGATTTGCTAACAATGAAATAATTTATGTGCGAATTTTTGATACCCTCCAAGGAGTAACTCAGGAGGAAGCATACATCCTGCTAGATGATAGCACTGTCATCCATGACTTCCAAATAGCAATCCCCCATCAATCTCCTTAACAAATTCTCTCTCCAACAACACGAAAAGAATTCCCCACCCACACCCCTCATTCTCCTCAGCAATTCCCCCCTCATTCTCCCCAACAAGCCCCTCATTCTCCTAAGTAATTAAAGATCGAGATTAGGTTGAAGTGTAAGAGAATTTGCTAAGAACACTTCGTACAGTATACATAAATATGTTAAATGACCCAGTTGATGCACTTCCTCTTATCGACATCAATAAGGGAGCACCACTTCCTCTTGTTGACATCAAGAATGAAGCCCAAATGATCCAATTCATCTTTATGTCGTTAAAAAGGGGGAAGCCTACCTGATACAATTCCTCATTTTGTCGACATCAAGGAGGAAGTCCTAAATGATTTAGTTCCTGAGGATGAGGATGATTGTTATGGATATAACATAAAGCGTAAAGAAAAAGGAGGGATTGAAAAGAAAATCTCATCAAGACACCATTCATAACTCTTAACAACATCAATAAAAAGAGATCAGAACCCTCAGCTGCCCCAACTGATCCAATTTTAGTGGTTAAGTTTCAAGTAGTTGCTAGACTTGTAAGCAAAATAATACAATTGAATGGTATGAAGATGTTATGTATAGAGAAACAAATATTTTTTTATGAATGTTTTAAAAAAGATATTGACAAGTAAGTTTTATTGTATATGTATTGCATATTTGTCGCATATTTACTGCATATTTATTATGTATTAATTGAATATTTATTGTGTATTCACTGTGTATTTAATGCTTATTCACTATGTATTAACTATGTATTTAATGCTCGTTGACTTTGGTTGCAGGGCTGACAAAAATTTTGCTTATGGAAATGTCATAATAAGTAGAGTTGATGTTGATGAAATTATAACAAAATAATACCTCGATAATAATCATATGGATGCCTTAGATCTACCATTATTTGAGAAGAATAAACCTACCCATGACATTTAAAAACTCTTTTTATACATCTCATCAATGCATTGGGTTAGTACTCACATAATAAATAATTTTTATATAATATTATTTGCTCATGCATTAGTTATGTCTTTATTAACTTATTATAAGGATACAAGCAATATAATCAGAATAGTCATCTATATGGCGAATATGTCAATAAGATTTCGGTGAGGACGTGTAATCTTCTTCTTCAACAATCATCCACAATCGACATGTATAGTAGGGGTGTCAATTTCGGGTCATGGGTCGGGTTCGGGTCGAACCCAGAACTGACCTGGGTTCAAACGTGTCGACCCTAATCCGACCCGGGTAGATAAACAGGTCAGAAATCCAAATCCGGACCCGACCCGGTGGGTTGCCGGGTTGACCCGACCAGACACTGTACCCGAAATGGGTCCGGGCTGCAGCAGACGGTGCGGGGGCAAGCGGGGCAGATTCACGGGCAAGCAGGGCAGCGCAGGCAGTTCAAGTTAAATGGGTTCGTGGGTTGACGTACCCGACAACCTGCCGAGTCAACCCGAACCCGACCCGTTTTTCAAACGGGTCGAATCCGAGAACCAGACCCTTAAATCGAGTCGGGTCCAACCTGAATTTTTTGGGTCGGGTTTTCGTGTTGTGTCAAATATTGACACCCCTAATATATAGTATGGTAGAGAGGCTTAAAGAAAATGTTTGGGAATTTTATTTCTTCTAAATTTTTCAAAAATGCATTATCTCTTAATTTCCTAAGCTTTCTCTGTATAAATTTGAATATGTTATAGATTTAATCATTATAAAGGATTTGATATAATTATATTGCATTATAAATAAAGTAATGAAAAATATCATATATCTGATATAATAACTCTACGTAATACCCTACTGATCCACTAATTAGGAGTCATGAGGAGCTGAATATTGATTGAGAGTTATACGGAGTCGGGGTGAATGATTCATGTGATTCAAGGGGAGTTATAAGAAGTACATTGATTAAAAGTTATAAGAGGTGACTGATTGTGAGTCATAAGTGTATGAGCAAGATATTCTTAAGATATACTCATTCAATATATGAATACTGATACTAATACTACTACGAACACTGTACTTATATTGTGACTGACACAAATACGATTTATTGTCATAAATAATATTTAATGTTATTGATTATGATGTTAGTATTGCTACTTGCATTAGTATTATTAACCGTTATTGATACTGTGATTGATGATATAATGGATTAAGATGTGATGAACTATAGAATGATAAATTGATTTAGATAATGAACTATAGAATGATAAATTAATATATATAATCAATGTAGACATTGATGCATATATTTATTATATGAGTTAGAAGATATTATTCTCTTTTATTTTGTATTGATTTCAGTTGTAAGATTTTTGTTACTTGTTGGGATATGTGCTCATTATATGATTTTACATGTTTTTAGGAAAGGTAAGGATCCTATGATATGAGATTCCAGATAAGACAAAAATGTAATAATGTTTATTTTTACTGTTCATTAGTAAGCTATAATTAAATGATTAAAATGAAAGATAGATGTAATTCTTCCAATATAAATTCTGGAATGTGACACACTCTTTTTCTTCCTTTCCAAAATTTCCTTTATTCTAAATTTCCTTTTATTTCTCTCCCAATTTCCTTCTTTTGACTTTGACTTTAAGGGAGACATTGATCCTTTCTTAGGTTTAAATCACAGAAGGATTTTATATAAAAATGAAAAAAAAAAATGGCAAATATACATTCCTTCTCCATCTTTTCTTCTTAGCATGACTTTCTCTCGGCTATTGGTTTCATTCACTCATTTGATTTCATTAGAGTGGGCGAATCAGAGTTATCTCTCATGATGAGTCACTTCTTTTCACTCCCACACTTTTTTTCTCACTCAATTTCATGATTCGGTTCCGCTAGGTATGCTCATGCCCATACTCGACACGTTGTTTTGCCTGCTCGACTCGTCTGGTTCTCCCAACAATGCATTAGGGCCGACTCAACTGAGCCATCCAAGCCCGGATCAATTTAACTAACTAAGCCTAGTTCTTACACATGGTTAGGTGAATG